AATCAACAAATAGTAATTTCAGTCTCCAATTTACACTTTCCTCCTCAAAGATGTCTTTCTTGTAGATTATGAGATTTTAAGTTGAGGTTATCATTGGAAAATAAATTTTGTGCCCCCACTTTCATGTATGTGCTATTTCCAATGCCATATTCAGCACACTGCTATACAGATTACTCATCATCCGCATATATTGGCCTTCCTCCATTAGCTTAGCTTTCTTTTGTTTCCTTTCGTCTCCGATTACTTTGCTTCCTTTGCCTTGTTGCTGCTGGTATTGATCCTTTTACTTCCCTTTGTTTTATTTTTTTCCCTCATTTTTGTTCCATTAATAGCTGCTGATCAGCCGTTTACCAGTTCTTTTGCATGTTTTCCTCGTGCATGCTTCTGTTCATTTTGCATTTATCTTTTGCATGCATATCTTTTTGACGTTGTTTCTATTTTCCCCAGCAGCTGTTGAATACTTTTAGGGATCTTTGTTTGGTAAGAATCTCTCTCCCGTCTTTGCTCACTTTCATTACAATTTCTTGCACTATTGTAGTTGCATCGACTTTGCTAGCTATTCGCATTCATCTTTTCCCACAAACAATTAGCTCCACTTCTGTTTGCCTCACTTTTATGTGCATGATGTTTTTTATGTGTTTATAGCTTTTTTAAACGTCTTTATAAACCAAGTGTATTCAGCTAGACCATAGGATGAGTAGTTATAGTGATAGTCATAAGATAGTTGCGCAAAAAGCTATGCGCAATCAGAAGTTAAGGGAGAAATATGCTGCGTTATCGCCTGAGGAAAAAGAATTGCGCCGTCTGAAACAGAGAGAGGCCTATCAAAAGAGGAAAACCAAAAAAAAATCCCACTAATTTGTGTCACGAAAAAGAAACCAGCACCAGAGATACACTTCAGCCATGCGACGAGCTCCAACTTCCTCTTGATGCAGGTGCATAGGCTGTTTACTGTATTCAGTTACTAAAATTTAGTCTTAATATTAATTCCATTTTTATGCATGCTAATTGTTCAACATGATTATTTCCGCTTGAAAACAGTGGTTAAGCAAGCTACCAAATGTTCTCAAGAATCCAGTGGCGCTGCGAACATATCAACTGCGACTAATGTTTATCAAGAATTCAAGAGTGAGATACCTATATTTACTGACAATTGTACTATTATTTACATCTGATAAAACTGCCTTTCTATTCTATTGCACTGGTACTTTATTTTCGCTACTATCTCATATATTTTTCCCTCCTTTAGCTGCAGAGCAACTTCGTCATAATCAAGCTCCCAAACAAACCTTGCAGCACCAATTGCGATTTGATGAAGTCTTACATACATCTGAACTTCGGTTTACAAAAAATGAAGGTTAATTGATTCAGTTATTTAGTCATTTCATCCTGCATTTTATATCTCTTATGCTTACCTTACAGCTACAGTTACGTATCTAATAACAATTTGATCATTGATTATATACTTATCATTATCAATTTATAATTACAGCAACCAATGCTCAGCAGCCTATACTGCAATGTGTTCACCAATCCCTGCAATCCAATACAGAACAAAATCAAGGTACACTTCCATAATTACACAAGACTTGTTGTATCTTATGATCATAATTAGTTGCTAACCAGTCTTATATAGCAGGTCAATCTCCAATTTGCACCAACTGTTACAACTATATTTCTGATGTTGTGGAAGATACACCAGGTTTGCCATCAACAGTTTTATTCTTTATATTTTGAACTTTTGTTACGCTATGAATTGTCTTAACAGAATGTCTCACATGCACCTTTTTGTATTCTTGTAGGCATTAGTACAATCCCTTCTCTGAATCAAACAATAGAACCAAATATCACTCATACTAATGTTTCCGTTAAAGGTTTATTATGCTATTAATGCAATTTTTCTTACATTGCTTCTTCTGTCTAAATACATTTTTTTTACCTAATCTTACACTTCTTACAATCAAATGTACTCTTATATCAATAACTTCACTTTAAATAACACAATTCTTGCCACAGTTACATCCATTGACTGGCAACGATCTACCAGATATCGCAAAAGGAAGGTGATGCATAAAAAAAGTTCGTGAGTTAATAGAAGTCTATCAATTCCAAGTCTTGTGTACTCTTTATAGCTTGTTCTTCACCTGAATATATACCATTAGTTACCTTAGTCATTTTCATTTATGACTGTCTATCAGCTCAAACAGCTAAGAGCACGAAGGCACTCAAATTAGTCAGTGATGAACCGGATAAATTACCTCAGGTTTTTGACTGCCAATATTGTGGTGCCAAAAGATTCCTTTCTGAAACACCAAATTTCTGCTATTCTGATGGTGAAGTTGTCCTACATGAAAACAAATTGCCAGACATTTTAGTTGAGTTGTATATAGGAAACATAGAAGATGCAATATCTTTTCGTACATATGTTCGAACATATAATAATATGTTTGCTTTTACATCTTTTGGAGTTCAATATGACAAGGTCTTATGCAAGAGAACTAATGGCATCTATACATTCAAAATCCAAGGACAAACATATCACTTCATCAATAAATTGATTCCCCACGGAGGATCTGGGATGTATCTGCAACTTTATTTTCATGATACATATCATGAATTACAGAACAGGCTATCATTTTCAGAGAGAGTCACAGTGAATATAGTTTCCAAACTCATGGATATGATGAAGTAAAATCCTTATGCTTGTTTTTTTTCGAAGCTTGCGCAATGTTGCAGATTTGGACTCATATCAGATTATTCTCAGATCACATTCTACTGCTGATCAAAGAACTCATAACAAGCCTACAGTCTCTCAGGTTGCAACTCTATGGATTGAAGGGGAAATCCAACAGAAGCTTACACGAGACATATACAAGTATATACAAAACAAGGCCAAAGTCATCGTGTACAATATTATTACGACTGTTACGATCCCCTACAATATCCTCTTGGAGAAACAAGCTGGCACCTAGGAATTCAAAGATCGGGAAATATGAACCCCAAGAAATGTAAAAGATCAGAAAGAAAGAAAAAATGCACAGTGACATTAACGAGTTTTAGATCAGCTGAAGAGCTTTTTAGCTCTGAGCAACAAGGTACATTTTATTCAACTATTTTGTACAAATGTATTATCAGTATAAAAATTCTATTCAGATGCTTTTTATATATATGTGACTCATACTTTAAATGAACCTCTGCAGCTTTTCAACAATATGAAAATTCAAAAGACTTTGTCTCAATGAGAGAATATTATGCCTACAAGTTTCAGATCAGAAAAGAATACAGTCCAAATATTTTGAACACAGTCCGTCTACTACAACAATTTGCTGTAGATATGTATGTCAAGCTTGAAACTCAGAGACTCGACTTCTACAGGAGCAAACAACTACTTATTTGAAGAGAGCAACTCCAAGGCTTTATGGATTCTGTTGTTCATAGATAGTCTCAGGGTTTCAAAGTAGGCCAACGTATACTGTTACCTGCTTCATTCATAGGAGGACCTCGAGACATGAAAAAGAGATATATGGATGCTATGGCCTTAGTGCAGAAATTTGGAAGACCAGATTTATTTCTTACAATAACATGCAATCCTTCATGGCCAGAAATTAAAGAAAACATGCTGCCTATGGATGAAGTACAAAATAGAATCGACTTATGTGCTCGGGTCTTTCATGCTAAATTGAAAATTCTAAAGGAAGAGCTATTCAAGAAAGAAATTTTTGGTCAAGTTGCAGCATAAACGAATGTGATTGAGTTTCAGAAACGAGGCTTGCCGCATGCTCATTTCCTTATTATTTTGAAACCAAATTCAAAGCTATATTCCCCTGATTCTTATGATCAAATTGTCTCGGCTGAACTACCAGACGAAAGTGTAGAAAAGCATTTATTTAAGATGGTCCGCAGGCATATGATGCATGGCCCTTGTAGTAGTAAAAATCCTAACAATGTGTGCATGCAAGGTTAAAGAGTGAGATTCTGCAAGAACAAGTATTCAAAGCAATGGGCGGCTACTACAACTCATGGATAAAATGCTTATCCGATATATCGACGAAGAAATGATGGAAAAATAGTTAACGTCCGAGGTCAAGAACTTGGTAACAGATGGGTAATACCATATAATCCGTACCTATTAACAAAGTTTAATTGTCATATCAATGTTGAAATCTGTTCTACCATCAAAGTTGTCAAATACATGTTCAAGTACATTTTCAAAGGACATGACAAAATACATTTTCGGGTCAACTCAGATACTTCAAACCAGTGTGTTGATGAAATAAAGGAGTATCAAACAGCAAGGTGGGTATCTGGTATTGAAGCTATGTGGAGAATATACAGATTTTCTCTCAATGAAATGCACCCGTCAGTTCTCAATTTACAGCTACACTTACAGAATTATCAATCCATGAGTTTCAAGGACGATGAGGATATCAGGGATGTATTGAAAAATCAGTTGAAGAAAAGGACCATGTTAACAGAGTTTTTCTATATAAATGCAACTGATGACTTAGTAAAAGCCTTAAAATGCACATACAAGGAGTTCCCTGAACATTTCGTTTAGCATCCAGATAAGAGGTACTGGTCAGCGAGGAAACAAAAAGACTGTATTAGAAGAATTGTTGCAGCAAATCCAAATGAAGGGGAGCGTTATTTTCTGCAGCTACTTTTAGTCAACGTTAAGGGACCAACTTCATTTGATGATCTCAAAATCATAGATGGTAAATATGCAGCAAGTTTTCAGGAAACAGCAACACTGAGGGGATATTTTGAATCAAATAACGCATAGGAACAATGCCTCCAAGAAACAGCATTATATCACATGTCACACACTTTTCAGGAGACTCCTTGCTACATTATTAGTACATTTCCCACCAGCAAATCCTAGACAGCTTTGGCAAAATTTCGAGGCATCCTTATCCGAAGATTTTTAGCATCAATCTGATGCACAACCTGATCAGATAAGAGTACAAGTGCTTCATGAAATAAGTAAATTCCTACAATCAATGGGCAAGAATATCAATAGCTACGACTTAGTTCCACGAATTCTGAGGTTTGACCAAGTAGACAGAGAAACCAGAGATACTATCAGTGAAACTCAGATTGCAGTATCAGACGAAGATATAGCGTCCATTAGTCGACTAAATATGGAGCAAAAACTTGCATTTGACATAATTACAGCTCATGTATACAATGATCACAAAGGATCATTCTTCTTAGATAGACCAGGAGGAAGCGGCAAGACATTTTTATATAAAGCTTTACTGGCTGCTATCATATCAAAAGGTTTTATAGCATTGGCTACAACATCAAGTGGAGTTGCAGCATCAATACTCCCTGGAGGACGGATAGTGCATTCATGCTTCAAAATACCAATCAATATGGATATCAGCAAGATGTGTACTGTTAGCAAACAAAGTGCATTAGCAGCATTACTTCGACAAGCGAAGCTAATCATTTGGGATGAAGCTCCAATGATGCACAAAACAGGAATCGAATGCGTGGACAAACTATTAAGAGACTTGACAGACACAGATGATCTTTTTGGAGGCAAAGTCATAGTTTTTTGGGGCGATTTTCGTCAGGTACTTCCAGTCATAACAAAAGGAACAAAGGTTGACTTCATGCAAGCAAGTCTTATAAATTCCTATATTTGGCCTCATTTACAGAAACTTAGACTTAAACAAAATATGAGAGCTCTTGCTGATCCACACTTTACTGATTTCTTCTTCGTATAGGAGATGGAATAGAATGTTTTGTCCACAACAACAATATTCAGATTCCTAAAGACTTACTTGTGCCATACAGTACTGAAGAGCAATCACTCAACAAATTAATTCATGCAGTATTTCCAGACTTGAAGAGCTGCTCACACGAAGATTATTCATGGACAAACCGAGCTATTCTCACAACTAAAAACAACTTTGTCGATGACATAAACAATGCATTGATAGAAGAATTTTCAGACAGTACTTTTGAATACATTAGCAGGGATAAAATAGCGGACACTTCTCAGCAGGCTATCCTAGAAGATTTTGTTAGCAGCCTCACACCGAATGGTTTCCCTCCACATAAAATACTCCTAAAGGCAAACGCTCCAACCATGTTACTCAAAAACATAGATCCTCCGAAAGGCCTCTGTAACAGCACAAGGCTCATATGTAGATCTTTACGACAAAATATAATAGAGGCAGTCATCAGCTGTGGTGAATTTGCCGGAAAAGAAGTTTTCTTGCACAGAATATGCTTCAAATCAGATAGTGACCCTGACTGTCCAATAGCTTTTGAAAGAATGCAATTTCCAATTCGTTTATGCTTCGCCATGACAATAAACAAAGCTCAGGGTCAGACTTTAGATTGTGTTGGTATTTACCTTTGTGAGCCAGTCTTCTCTCACGACCAACTCTATGTAGCTCTTTCTCGAGCTAGAAACAGCAATTCTGTCAAAATCTTGATCAAGCCTTCTCTTTCTGATCTCACCTCATATGATATTACTCCTGACATAGTTTATATTGAGATTTTGGAGATAGCACAGCTCTAATATTTTATGAATGCTTTCATAGCAACAATTTCCCAACTGCCTTTTTTGCCACCATTGACACTTAGCTCATCATACCTATCATACACTCTACAATCTTACTTTCAGCTCATAACATGCTAATATTTGTTTACTTCAACTATTAACAATAACATTTGCTCATTACCACCTGCAATTCATTCATCATACACATTACACACTGCAGAGTTCTAATCTTATCCCATCACATCCTTATATTGACTAATTTCTCTTCTGATATTAAAACTGTGCAGCAATTGTGACCAATGAACTTCATAACCTTTGATGAGCTGCTCCCTGGAATTAAGAATTGGGCAGCTACTGTCCAAGTCATCGACAAGCAAAAATCTCAGATATCAAAAAAAGGGAGAAGATATCTGAAGCTACTTCTAGCCGACGAAAAGGTACATAAGACTAATGACTACAGATTTAATACTCATCCTACGAATACTATGTATCTAATGCTCCTATCAATACATTGATTAGGCAAACAAAATTGATGCTCTCATCTATGGATCAGACATTGACTTCTTCAGAAACCACTTTCAGATTTACAAGCGCTTTGTAGTCTCAAAGGCTTCAGTATACAAATGATGAGCCAACTATTGAGCGAAAAACATGCATTATCATCATCGATAACTCAACCGTTGTCGAACCTGTCGATGAACAACAGCCACCACTTCTTCCACCACTCTACCAATTCACTCCATTCAAAAAACTTTGTCATCAGATTGACACTAATTCTGACTTAGGTAATATTTCCTATTTCGCAAATAATAACTGCATATCTTCAATAAAATCTCACAAAATTAAATGCAGATGTGATTGGTATTATTGTCCACGTGAATCCATAATCAGCCAAAGGAACAACTCCAAACCGAGACATAGTACTGGCAGATCAAAGGTATAATACCATAACTACTTTTGCTCTATTGACAACTATGTTGCAATTGCTAACAAAAATCTTTCCTATACCAGTTCAATGACAATCATCCTTCCACTATGGGGAGAGCATGCAACTGATGAGGGCCGAATAATTGCTGAAACAATCCACACTCAACCATTAATTGCAGCTCTCAGAGTCAAGGCGACATCATATGGCAGTAAGAACTCTTAACAGCTTTCTTTAGACAATAAAATATTACACTAACACATCTTAACATAAACTAATATACATCACTGCAGCTTTAACTCTTTCAACAAAATTTGCTTCCTGGATCCTGATCAACCCACCAATACAAGAAGCTGCAGCTCTGAAGCAATGGTAAATGCTGAATAAATTAACAAAATGCATTTCAACTGCCAGTCATGATACTCATACCAAAATATAAACTACAACAACAGGGCAGCTGAAAATAATCAGGCAATCACAAAGGCCATAACTGAAAAAACATATTAAAGCCCATTAGAACTTCTTCCAACACCCGATCCAGACGATATAACCCATATCGGTGCCATTGTGACTGCTCCACAGGTAAACATAACCTCATACACATTAATACATCTACCTGCTCAAACAATAAAATTATCCAAATAAATTTCCACACAAACTAACTAAAATACCATTCCATTTGTTACAGAAGAAAGCATTTTGGATACAACGGATAGCCAGACTTCCGGACAGAAGCCAAAAACTCTGGTATTATGCCTGCCCTTTCTGCCACAAATCCATTCGCAGCAATCTTGAGTATAAAATTACCTGTCTTTCCTGTCAGCATTGTATCCATGTTGTAGCAAGGTAACATACCTAACATATTTTCCTTAATTAACCATTTATCATTTATTTGATCAAATTATTCTTATATCTATCAGGCAAAGAATAATTGTTGATTTTGCGGATTGGAGCGGTAACATCACACTTGATCTATATGGAAAAGACGCTCAACAACTATTACCTTATAAAATTTCAAAAATTCAACAACAGGAAGCACAGGTAATCATGATAACTATCAGCTGCCATTACAGATCAAATTTACGTTCTTATTACACAATAAACAATCTGAACAACATACATTACACAATTGCAGAATAATATTCCCTATAGAGCTATAGAAGATTGCATCAGCAAGAACACTATCATCTACTTCATAAAAAAGGCACCCTATAGCTATGAGCCTTCTGCAACTCAAAAATACACAGCTATAGTTGCTCACAAAGTCCGGCTAGCTGACACAGGACACAGATTGACCGGAGTAGTAGGAACCAGTGCTGCACAAAAAGATGCAGAAGGAACAAATCCAGAAGACGAGCAAGAACCAATGGACATTGAAAATGAACAAGACACTGGAACAGCTTCAAGCACGCCAAGCAATAGAACAGAAAGATCCACAAAAGCTAAAGTTGATGACTGGCTGTTGACTTCACTCAAAATAACTGAAAGTCCACCAAAAAAGCAACACACTGCAAGATCAAGAGATGAAAAATAATCTTAGTAAGCTTCTCACAAGAATTTTTGCTTTTGCGATCAATGCAACGCATGTGTAGCACGAACTCCATCTACACTCCTAAATATGTTTATAATGACTTTTGTTAAAGACAACTAAGAAGACCACTCTGTGTATCTATCTGAATCTTTTGATGGCAGATAAGCTACCAACCAACTTACACTTAGATTGGTTGGAGCACAATCGACCAAGAAGTGTAATGTATAAGTGTGATGTATTCTCTGTAATATAAGTGTGACGTTTTCTCATTACCTTTAGCTCCAGAGTCAGCTATAAAAAAAATCCTAACATAACATTACACCTACCATTTTAACTTCCATCTTCAATTCACCTTCATCTCATAATATTTATATATACAAACCTACATATAAGAATATACACACATATACACATACATATATATATACATATTAACTTTACATATTAACAAATCACCACTAAGATTAAATAATACACATAAAACACATGCATTTTCCTAATACCTCAAAAGAAAAGAGACAAACCCCCGGGCACCACCCGCGCCTTGCGTGCGGAAAACACCCTAGTATATATATATATAGATATAGATTCCACCCCAATAGCATATCATCCACCTAAAGCTTCTTGTTGTATTCTATGTGGGAGACGATTAAACGGATAATGTCATTGCACTACTTATTAGCAAATTCAAACCTTCATGATCAACAAATATAGTTGCAGGACCAGAAATAATTTGTAAATTGTCCGATTTGTTTACTTCAGTCTAATCCTGTTTTGGACCCAAACTGGAAAACATGTTCAGCCCAAGATTACATTTATTTAGACCCGTATTTCAATAGCCCATATACCTTCTCTACCCAAAAGGGTAAAATACAGCACTTGGAAACGACGTCGGAACCTAAAATGCTAAACCCTTTCTTTCTAAAACCCTAGTGACTCGGGATTAGCGTCTCGGCACAAAGCTCCGCCATCGCAAAAACCTGCACCTGCTTTACCATCGTCTTTTTCTCTGCCCTGAAACAAAAAATGGCCAAGGCAGAAATGGGAAGCGATAGTGAAGCGGAGAAAACGGCGCAGAAGGAGAAGGACAAGAAGAAGTTAGCGGGGCTTGCCCCAATTGCTAAACCCCTGGCCGGTAAAAAACTCTGTAAACGCACCCTCAAGCTCGTCCGACATGGTAAAGATCTCAATTTCCATTGAAAACGTGATTATTTCTGTGGATTTTGTTTAAATTTCAATTAAAGTTGTGGGTTTTTCTGGGTTTCAGCTGCAGAGCATAAGTGCTTGAAAAGAGGGGTTAAGGAGGTAGTCAAAAGTATTCGCCGCGGCAATAAAGGGTCAGTCCAAGTTTGGATTTTTATTGTTTTCTTAGTGTTTTTCCTGATGTTTAATACCTGTTTATAAAGGTGTTATTACCCAAGCATTGATATCTTTAATGGAGATAATAGAAATTTTGTTGGATTTACTTCCGAAAATTAAGTAAATTGCGCAAGTGTTTTTGTTAGTTCAAACTATCTATTTTTACAGAATGAAAAGACCAGTTTTCTTTATGTTAGCGTAGATAATTTATTTTAAACAGGAAATCCGATCATTTTGCTTTTTTTTTTTGAATAGCTAACTATTAGTGCCATGACTACATGATTTAGCATCTTAAAGTTGTAGAAAAAGGCAGCATTTTGTAGCACTCTGAATTGGAACATGCCTGCCTTTATGCATTTAACCTGGGAAGTTCCAAGGCTGACTATATTTGCAAAGCTTGAAACTTGGGGATTTGTTGCTTATAATTTGTCTTAAAAACATTTGTTGGACTATTGTCTTAAGTTCTGTACAAGTTCCATTGCTTTTAGATGCAATCTAGATACCTAAATGCATCTCTATAATATGGTTTATCTGTGCTATGGTATGTTCTGTATTAAAGTGTTCTCACAGATTTGTAATCTGGAGTTGCTTTTAATTGGAAAATATCAATTTTTCCTTTTTGATGAGTGCAGATTATGTGTTATAGCTGGAAATATATCTCCTATAGATGTTATCACTCATGTTCCAATCCTGTGTGAAGAATCTGATATTCCATACATCTATGTGCCCTCCAAAGAAGTAAGTTGATTTCTAATCATCTTCATGTTTTCTGGTTATGTGTCTCTTTTACATCATGTTTATATTCATAAAGATTCTCTATGCATTGGTGCGGTCAGCGTGTCTTGCACTTATTTTTTAATTTGTGCATTTTATTGCGACACCCATGAAAATGAAGACAAAAGCCAAGAGAAGAAAGAGACTAGGGGTCATGAGACTTCCAGAATGTTTCTCTTTTAATCCTCTGGAACTCTTTTTGGTGTCTTATGTGAACTTTGTGAATATTAAGAAAAAAAATAAGAAATTTGAGAGAGAGAGCGGGGGGGTGGGGAAGGGGGAGAGAGAAGAGATGGTTCTGCATTAGTGTGCTTTCCCTGTAGTTCCTGTAGTTTTTTTTTTTTTTTTTTTAATAATCCAAATTGTTGCCTCTGAAAGCAATCGTTTTTGCTAATTAGATCCATGCAGTGATAGGGACATATGGTCAATGAATAGAACCTTCTGTCAGTGGAGAGCTTAATTGTCTGCATCTTTGATTTGCAAATAACCATATGAATATTAGGCACTTTGTGTGATATGATAACTAAGCCTGCTTATGTTGTTATGTTTCTTTTGGATTGCATTGAATAACATGGTGCTGCAGGTTGGTGACTACTCCCTTTTGAAATAAGGAACTGATCCAAGAGCTTTTGATTTGTCTTCATTAACTTGAAAGTGGTGCTGGTATTTGTATTATTCGGTGGCTCATTTAAGCCTAATTTAGTTGCATCTGTAATAAGCCTCAATTCTGTCCATTTTGCGATGAAAATAGTTGGTGCAGTTTCAATTATGTGTCTCCTGGGAATAAGAGCTTGTACATGATATGTTTATATTGAACGACCATTGGCTAACCTGGTTATTTAGTGATCCCTCTGCATTTTCTGGTGCCTCCAAACATTAAAGAGCAGCTGATGCTGTGATTGTAGTGGATGCCCTACATAGGTTGTCTTGCTGTTGTTTATAGTTCACTCAATGTGATTTTTCATAGCAGGAGTGATTAAAATGCATATGCTTGTTTCAGGATCTAGCTAATGCAGGAACCACCAAGCGGCCAACTTGCTGTGTTTTGGTGCTAACTAAACCCACAAAAGGGGAACTTGGGCAGGAGGAACAAGAGAAGCTTAAGGCGGAATATGATCAAGTCACATCAGATGTAACTGGACTTGCTAACTCCATGTTCTAGATCAAGGACTTTATTTGTATTAAATCGTCATGCACTCTAGTGTGGAGATTATGCCTGATTCTATCTCTAATTTATCACATGTTTTACCCAAGGAGAGAAGCATCTTCACTGTTGTCTTTTGTCTATATTTGTTCCTGGCATTCAGTAACTCAACAGATTTAGACCCTAGTAGAGAATTTCGCGATAGAATTTATCTTCCAGTCAAATGATGCAACCTAAAATGCTGAGGTGCATTTTCATCCAGACATTCGTATTTACAATGTTTGGAGCCATCTTTGAAAAAAAAAATCCCACAAGATTACCAATAAAAACCCAGGTCTGCTCTTACAGAGTTAAACTTGTCGAGACTCCGTGCTTTTCCAGCTGTTCAACTATCGAGCAGCTTTCGAGGCCCGCTGAAGTGCATACGTTAGCATTTAGTCTGCTGTTTACCATCTGTATCCTGCCCTTTTTAACCATAACATGATGTTGAAAATTTTAAGGATTTTATTTCCATGCTGTATCTGCTTCAGTGGTCTTAGACGTCTGCATATATTTGAAAATTCCCATTCCTTTTTCCTCAAAAAAAAAAATCCGAAATTTACTGGAAAATCCTTCGCTTCTCAGGACAATAAACTAGACTCTTGAATGATTGTATCATGGAAAATCTTAGCAAGAAGCATAAAAACAAGATTGTGAAAAGGTTGAGATTAGAATAATTAAATATTCTTGTCAAAAGTTCCCAGCCGCGCAAGTGCATTTTTGCTTGCTATCTTTCTCTCGGTTTTCAGTAGAGTATGTTTTTTCGCTAAGCCACACCTTCCAATACCAATACAGAGCTATAGATCGAGTCCCCAGGTTCTGTATTTCTCCAGACAAACTGAGGTTAACTATATCGCTTTATACATACATTTTTCTGTCACTTAAACAACATAGGATAAGCTACCAAAGCACTGGGTTTTTTCAAAACGCAACATATACATTCTCCTCCATTTCTATTTATTCTATGCTATATATGATCTCCCAGTTTGCTGCAGGATGAGGATTAGCACAGGGTCAATGTTGTGATGAGAATGTTCTGAACAACAAAACACCTATGCCACCAATAGCCAAGGTCAGAAGTAGAGGAGCACCAATGGACTCAGCAGGTGATCTGGTAGTCCTATCTGCCCTCCCTCGGCGCGACCGTTCCCCCATACATTCTCGTAATATAGTGCTGAGTGTGTCTATTTGATGCATGATTTGTCTTTGTGACCTCGAGATGAGTAAGACCTATTTCCCAAAAATTGTTGACATCAGATGGCTCACAAAAAGCCAAGAAATCAGGCAGGGTGAAGCAAATGTATGCACCGACTGAAGATTTAGGTGGAAAAAAAATAGAAATTGTAAGACCACAAAGAAACCATGACTGCAAAGAAACCACATGCAAGCAGATATCAGATATCTGCTCCACTTATAATCAGACAGAAAGATGTCTTTACTATATTTTTTCACTTATATTATTGTATAACAAGCAATCGAGATGCTCCATATAACAAACCTGGACCCAAAAACCTGTACCAGCAACAAGATCACATGCAATTCAAGGAGTTTTTTCCCATTCAAGTACTAGTTTCCTTTTTCAATTTGTCTGGTACTTGATAACTTCAGTATTTGAGCTATAAATACTAATTTTCTAGATTGATGATGTCTCACCTTCAGGTAATCCTAAGATGGACAAGGATTTTTGTGGACTCGCCAATTTTCTCATCATTACTCTGCAGTGTCTTCTGAGTGTTAATACGACTCATGCTCCAAGGTGAGACCCAGTAACAAGAGAGGAGAGGACAAGGGTCTATAAAAGTTCTAATAAATGCATAGCCACCACTCAATGGAGCAGTCTACCATTGCCATTCTGCAGCAGGACTGCCTTGAGCTACGATTTTATGCATCTCAAGTAGTCCTTTCTCTACTAAAAATAAGTAGCTTTGAAAGTTGAAAGGCTCTGAACATAAAAATGCTTCAGCCACAAAGGTTCCTGCTCCCCTCCCTTTACACATCATTGACTAAAGAATATCATCCTACCAAGATTCTTGAAGGCATTTATCATAATTTCAATAGGTGCTGTGGAGTAGGCTAATTATGTGACAATTCCTCACCCACCACCTCAACGAGCTAACAGAAGCAAACATCCAAAAAGAAAAAGTATGGCTTACCTCTTCCAATAGAGATTCCCTTGCCAATTGAGGAGATGATGAGGAATTGGGTAATACAGGTCCAGTCAATGAACCATTGCCTAAGCTTGCCACAAAGTAAGATGTAGGTGCAGAGCCATTGCAGGCTTCAGCCTGCAAAGCCAAATTCTGTTGACTGGAAGAAACTTTTCTCGTAAAGATTTTTGAGTTAAGCTCTTCAATTCGAGATGTAAATTCATCCATTCTCTCATTCAGTGTAGAAATTTGTTCCGATAGTTGATTAATCATTCCCTGGGGAAAAAATTCCAATGTAGAAAAGTAGATGCATGTTTAATTTCCTAGAATACAAGGAATAAATTAAAATATGATGAAGAGAAGAACGGATTCTTCATATAATAACAAATATGATTAATAAAACAATCAGAAGCAAGCCAAAATAAAGATTTCACAGTCAACTATAATACAAATTAGTTTTCCAAGGAAGAAATACCTGGTTAGGAAGTGCAGCAGGTGAATCAGGCATTCTTCCATCATATCTCCTATTATTAACTGCAAGTTTAGTCAACTTACTGAGATTCTTATCACGCTGTGTTGAGAAGGAGTGCGACATCCCACTGCTCAAAATTTCACACAAACATAGTTATGCTCAACAGGTAACATTCATCATGTCTAACCAAAGCAAATTTATAGGGAAAAGCATAGAACTTAAGAGAGTTTCTACAACTTAAATCACATATTATAACCACTAGAACAACTCTGTCCTTTCAGGAAGTTTAGAATTACCGATTGAGAAACTTCATCCTCCTGTCTGCAGAGGCTCTTGATAGGGCTTCTTTAGGGCTTGAGACTAAGTCATCATCTATGCTGAGCTTAGTTTTCAGGTCAGCTGGCAATGCCTGCCCATTAATATAAAAAGGACTAAGAATAATCTAAGCTGAAAATATTGGAGATATAAACCCATTTGGACCTAGTGCAAGTCTAGCAGCATTCATACTGGTGAGCGCTAATCATGTTTGATATAATTAAATGAAAGGAAATTAACCAAAAAAAGTATTGATTGAAAGGCCTAATACCATAACATCATTAACGAGCTTTTCCAACTGAATTTGTTCGATATAAGTGCGAGGAACATATGAACCATCCAATCCGAGTCGATCACCAGTATATTTGACATATAACCGATCTCTTCCTTGGACCTTCAAAAATCATAAGCAGTAGAATGGTAATCGACTACGCAAGCTAGCTTGAGAGCCAAAATGCAACAATATCAAGCTTAATATGGTAAACCTTCTCACAGTGAGAATAACCTATGTGAATTCCATTTAGCAACTACCATGCAAACAACAGTCTTGAATTCTTGATGCTCAGATATCTCCATATAATAAGATCTCCGACTATATCCAACTATACACTAATTTCAATTTCCAAACATAGATTAATTTACTTTTTATTTTGATTGGTGCAATTCTATAGTGAAAAAACAAAAAGCATTCTGCAGTCCAGAGTTAGAAAGGAAATCACAGGCATATCCAAGTCAGACTTGTCAGCTAAAGTTGACATTTACACTTTCTCATACTAAAATAAACTGAGATTTCTGGTTGGATAAGGAGATGCAGGAATTCAACACATAATAGCCTACTGAAACAATTTTTAATAATTTCACATGTCATAGGCCACAATTAACAGTCCAGATGTTTTCAAGGCACTAATTAGCATTAAGGAAGCTGAACAAATTGTACTGATTATGAGTTTAGGTGATTCTCAGGAGGTGGACCATGAACATAAGTAGTGGGATATGTGGATATACAAAAAAGAGTCATGTATCCTCGAAGCCATTAACATCCAAAGGGACAAACTGAAAAACCTCAAGGAAAATCCAGAATCCGACGCAAGTAAATACCTAATGCAACAACGTTCAACTCATCATGACTTGGTCACTTATTGCATCCTTACCTGAACGTATTGCCGATTGAGCTGCTCCAACCGATCAATTTTGACAGTAACCTTGTCATCTGAGAAGACATGACTGCTTCTTTTTAGGATGGATGCAATTGTGTAACCCAGAGCCATCAAGCCACCAAGCAGCCGTACACTAACTTCAAATGTAATTCTCGGCGAAATTATGAAGGGACTATCTGTAACCCATTCCTGAAATTAGTATGCATAGCATTTAGAAACTATAAGTTGCTTTATCCATTAAAAAATGCCTAAATGCAGATGCATATAAAGTCATTGACTAGACATTGACCATGCTATCAAAATGGACAGTTAAATGGTAGCCCACACCACAAACAGAAAGGCAAGAAATGCATTAAAAAAAAAAGAAATAAAAACACTCAACCACATCTAGCTTATACTAAAGATAGTTTCTCTTCATTCAATTTTCATAATACGATTTTTTTTGGGCCCCGGGTGGGGGGGGTGTTGGGGGGAAGAAAAACCTCCTTCTAATGATCTCAACTGTATATCCAGGAGTTGCAAAGATGCAGGCAGGCAGATTGGTAGATCACATTGATAACAAACTCGATTTGGTAAAAGGTATATGGAGTATATTTTGGATAGTTCGCTTTTCAACTTGGCTTAGAGGTTCATGACAAAGGTTAATGACTTGCTTAAGGGCATATGATATATGCCTTAATATTCTAAAAAGCATGTCTGATAAGATCCAATATTCAAGTTGGTGCTTAATGCTGCAACTTGCAGTTTATGAGTTATTTATCGTACTAAATGCAAATACAAATAGATTTCCACCATGAAGCAGATGGAACAAGTTAGAATTTATTTTTATCACAAACAAAAATCTACTTTACAAAAAAGCTAGTGGTGAGTAGCATTTACAGATTACTCAAACATTATTCACATCTTTGGGCATCAGAAAAGTATAACTGTAGTAGTATTAGTCCCAGAAATCATAAATTGTCATCAAGAATGACATACATAAGCTAGCTAGAGAAGGAACAAAATGGAAAACCAATAAAATAGAAGTGCAATATAAAAGATTAACAGGAATCCAAGAATCACAAGGATCTTAATTCTTAGCGTGTTATGACTAAGAAGAAGAAAGGAGCCGTTTGAATAAATTTGTTAATCTCTACAATGACAATCCATAAAGTTAGCGTTGCTGTCATCAGTATGAAGTAGAATGGTTTATCAGTCAATATCTACTTATCTAGCAGGAATTCACAACCTATAACCATCAACGTTATGAATCATCTCAGCATCAGCACCACATTCACAACTCTCTTAGTACAAAACAAACTCCAAAATGGAAAGGTCAAACCTCAAACATGAGACTGTATTTTCCATCCCTGTTCCTCATTCTCAGATAGGATTGGCATGCTTCAGGATCTTCTCCAGGTGGCAGAAGATATATGTCATAAGTTTCCTCTCTACTTTCCTTATGTTCCTCAGACAGAACAGCCTTAATCTGATCCACTGTAACAGTCCTTGTTGACTATTATAAAAGAGAACATTCACAAAATGAGAAGGGCAACAATACAACATATCATTACAGTACCATTGTACATTACTTGGTAAAGGGTTTTAAAAATAAACCTTTAAGACATAGGTAGGATTCTGAAATCCAGAAAATGGATTAAACTTATTAGTGATCTTTATATGTGCTGTTTGTAGATCTGGCTCAATAAATGCCTTGTACATTGGATATACCTGTTTTCCAAGAAACCCATAAAACTCATATTCAGGCTTACATATATAGCTAGGATCCAATTCAGTATCTGTAGACAAAAATACTCAAACTTAAATCAAACCGTTTCTGAAATTTGATGAATTATTTCTTCAGGTTCTTGTCCAGCACGTTGAATATCCCTTAGCACACGTTTTACAAGATCAATGTGCACCCCACCAGTAACAGAAACCCGGAGATCCAGGAAAGGACGTAATTTTTCACTTAAGGCATATATTCCTTCAATAATTACGATGCGGGAGCTTGGCACCTCAAGAGTCCTGTCAAATGCATTAACCTAAATCATTTGTCTTTCCCACTATGGCAACCCACAAAAGCTTATTTATAACAAAAAATTAGAGGAAATCCACAATGCAGAATAGAGAAGGCCTTGAGAAGTGGAAAAGTAGATTACTTGTAACCTATGCGAGAGCTGGATTTAAAATCATAAATAGGAACTTGAACAGGACTCCCTGCTTTTAAACCCTGGATATTCTCAAGCAATGTATCATAGTCTGTCAAGCGTGGATCTGCATTTTAAATTACCAGTAACTACAGTTAGAGCAGGAATTATAACTTGAAGACATTAATATCTATCAAAAAATAGTCAAGGACAGAGAAGATACAATCCGAAGTTTAGCAAAGACGACATGTAAAACTGAAAAGATTACGAAAGACACATAGTAGGTTAATCTTTTTTCCACATTCAAAATTTAGGAATGCCACTTGAAATGTCAAAATGATGGCAGGCAAAAAGAATTTGAAATACCATGAGAGCTCAAGTCACTACAAAGTACAAATTACTTGATTCCCCACTAATACTTGTTCTCTATACAGATGTATTGCAATATTAACAAGCAATCTTGCACTCATTATGCATCTCACTTTACCATTCCCCCCCAAAGAAACTCACTCCGTAAATCAATTTCCATTTTGGTCTTATTTCTTGGGCAGCACTGTGGCAACTCACTTCTGCATGATAAACATGAAAAGCCTAACATGTATTTAACTGTAAAATATGCATGTTGATCAGAAATTGAAGGTCTTCTCAATGGATTACAATTATAAAATGCATTAAATTATGCCAAATTTTAATTTGAATGCTCAAAGATCAGTACTCTTAGCATACAGGTTTACAAATCCCAATCTATCATCTAAATTTCTCAGTTTCATCACAAATTGGGTACCATGTAGCATTAAATATTCTCAGCATATTTTTTTCGAAAGACAACCATAATATGTAACAATGGAGATATTAAAAATTCCTTTTCATGTTTCTGCAAATGAAAAGTACCATGGAAACTCACTTTAAATGTCTAGCCAGATATCTTGTATAATATCAGAGCTGTTAAGCCCCTCGATGATCTGCCCTAGGTTAGTTGATGAATGTTAGTATGTCAAGATGAAGTAGAGACTAAGATTTCAGTTGGGGTCACAAACATTCACAAAGACATTGCTTCAAGGAAAGGGGGCAGAAAAAAAATCCTGGTTTCAGTGGAAAGGGATAATGAGCAGATGATGGTATGTAACCAAAAGTAAAAAAAGAATGAAGCAAGGCATACCATCAAAATTTCCATCAATAATACGGCTCGAATCATTGTAGTTATCCATGCTTATGACAGCAATACTAGGCATAAAATTTAGGATCTTCTCTGTAAACACAGTTTTCCCAGCCCCAGAAGGACCTGCTACTCCAACTAATATTATTCCATCATTCTTCTGAGCTAATAACTGGCACGCACGAATAGTTATAAAGAAACCCTTCTCAAATGATAGAGGATCTTCTAAGGCAACAATCTCGTAGCGCTCGGAGTCCTTTCTCTTAACTAACTGAACCTGGTCTCTCAATAAGCCATGCCGCTTCCTTGGTGAATCAGCACTTGGAGCAGTGTCCTGAGCCATTTGAGGGGGTAACACGAGTTTCTGGAATGATGAAATGAAGAAGAAATGAGGATCTAATCAACGCAGAAAGAATGGGAAAAAACAAAAAATAATAGTTCTGTAAGAAAAGAGAATACAATTGCAATATCAAGGAAAGTTTCAAAATCATCTTGTGCAAAAGGAAATTTAATTTACAGAAACTTCTTAGTTTTGAAGGCTTAAGAACCAAATTTAAGCTCAAAGGCTAAATACGTAGAAATCATGTAAATAACAAGCAAACGGACCCAGGTCAGCATGAGAAATAAGTCAGAAGGCAGATAAGAGTAGATACTAAAAACATTTTACAGCAGTCTGTTCTCTCCATTTATACATTGAGGCACAAGCTTTCAACATCAGATTTCAAGTTCCTCCATCATGAAGTAATATATCCATTTCTCAGCTGAATCTTCAAAGTCAGGATTTGTTGGGCAATATATTATTTGGCATGTTTAGGCTCGTTTAAACTTATTCCCCTACTTGCCTAACCAAAACCAGAAAAACATCCATCTTTTACAAGTAAAAAGTTTAAGCTGATTCACAATAATGTTGCTTAACTTTATAACAAAAACTATCTCCAGCAGCCTCTGCATCTGATGCACCAACAGAAAGAAAAACATTGAAAGGTAACCAAAAAGTCAATCAATTGGTTATGACTTTGGTGCTCTCAAAAGAAAAGGATAATTGCACAATTGTCCTGCTTTTATATCCAGTCAGTCCATTACTTGATCAAAAAGCGGCAAAAAGATTTGCAATCAACTATCAATTTGAATTCTCCAGATTGAAAAAGTAAATGACATGCAGAAAGTGAATAGCCCTTTCATGATCCTCAAAAATCAATACTTTTAAGAAGAAAAAAGACGAGATAAGATTCAGAACCGTACAAGGAGATTAAAAATGGAAAAGAGACTAGCGGGCAACTATATCAAAGTAGGCATGGCATGCATGACCATAAAAGTGAAATTGACGTAAACAGGACACCGAGCTAAACAGAAACTTCAAGCTCGAGGGACTCTATGCAGATGCAGCAAACTTTTTTCCTATTACCAAATTGAGATGAAATTGAGTTCTACATGGAAACCTAGAAGTTGAATTAGCAACCAAACAACCACCAATTCATTCAGATTGAGAAAATAAACGACATGCAGAAACTAAATAGCCATATTATAATCTTCAAAGATTAATACTTTCACAAAGTTTCAATCCTCCAGAAAACAAAATAACACCTCCCAACTCCCTACCAAAAACCCAGCAAAGAAAATTAAAAAAAAAAAAAGAAGGGGGAAAAACATATACACAAAGGGGGCATGGCATGCATGATCAAGAAACATAATTCAAGCGAAAAAAAAAGCCTTTAAGCTTTGATTGGTTCTGGTTTTCAGCAAAATCGTGCCTGTAACAAAAAAAATTGAGGTGAAAACGGGGCTGTAGGACTTGAAAGGAGCAAGGCAATTGAAGTGTGGTAGGTCCTGATAAGAAGAACACAGTGAGGTGTCAAGAGGAGAAAGGGCGGCCGACGGGTTGAGAGCTGGGAAAGTAGGGTGGGAGTGGTACAATACAATACAAGTGGAGGATAGATAATTTGAACTCTGTTCTTTGATTCTTTAAAAGCTCTCTTGTTGGAGACAGACAGTTGAGGGAGAAGGTGACGGTCCTGACCAAAGATCTATTAATGCAAGCTACCCGTTTTAACTGTTTTGGTGTTTAGGCAATATGATTTTTCACCCAATACCAGAACGAAATTTTGTTTAAAATCACATTCTTGTAGATATTTAGTTTTTTTTTCGGTTAATTTGTAAATTTTTAGGTAAATTTCTTTAACTTTTGCAAGTTTAAGTTCTACAAAATATTTTGTTAACTTGTTTGAGAATTTTAAGGTTTTACATACTACTATTTAGAATTGTGCAATGATAAATTTGAATATGTATGCATGGATCAACAAGAGTTTATCCATTACAGAAAAGGTTTATGTGGCCCCAAAATCTACAAGAATAGCAAAGGGGAAGGGATGGGCCTTGCACCGCTATTACTCTCTCTGTCCATTATTATTCGAGCAAATCGTCAAAAATGTCACTGAATTATATATTAGTATTTGTTCGGGTCATTAAACTATTTTATTACTCAAAAATATCATTGAATTAACCAAAATACATGTTTTTGTAGCATTTCGTGTAATTGAATTGTTAAGACAAACGGAATTTCTTTATCTTCACTTGTGAGCTTGATTTTGGAGGGACAAGGCCGTCAATTCATCTATTTGACTAACTTTTGTCTTTATAAATGATTGAATCACATTAACTTATCTCAACATTTCTTGAACCTATCATTCTCCCAACACTAGGTGAGTTTAGCAATTATCTTGGAATCTATGCTTTGCTAGGAAGGTTGAAACTCCATAATGTCAAGATGCAAGGAAGCAATTCCGATTTATCAATGCAGGACAAAATCATTTTAAAAACTTCAAGGACTCATAGAAACCAATAAGGAAATACCTTGAATATACTCTTGATAAGGTGAGTTTTTTTTTTTTTTTTTGAGATTAAAGCTGGAAAATTAAAGGGTGTGTGGACTCAAAAGAGTGGCCTAGTCAAACCGTATTGACCCATCAAACATCCATCAATGAGGCTTTCACCATAATTTTCAAAGACTTTAGGGTATAAACAAATTTAAAAAACAAAAAAGAAACTCAGCCCTAACCAATGTATGAGAAATTGCACAGAAAGACAGCCAATAACAAATCAATCTTTAACTCAAAATTCTCTCTTTAAAGACTCTTCACTATACAGCAAGTGGGCGGCACAGAGGTTCAAATCTGACACGATCTAAGAGAGCAGAGTATCATCAAAGCCTCCAATTAAATTCTACTGGGGTACAGAATATAGGATGGCCTGGTCTGTGAAATCATGAGAGATGTTTGACCTTTTTCTCGCAGCCTAAAAAAAAGATTGAACAAAATCTAGAAGAAAATAAATCTCATGAAAAAATTTGCCAATACAAAACTCCGTCTTCCTAATCCTGCCTACAAAATGGCCTTTGAACGCATATTGTACTCAAATGTATCCTCTCATGGCTTCGGCTTGCATGAATTACCTGCTGATACTAGTGATCAGGTGAATCAAACAAAGCATCTAGGCATTTGGAGACTGTCTGCCGCTGGGTTTGTGGTTGGAGGTTCCTTGGAAAACAGATGGGGAGAAAAGATCAACCCTCACTTTCCCCGTGACTCCGGCAACAGTGATTGTTCAGGATGGCGATCTTTCTTCGGATCAAGGTCCAAATTCTAGTCTAGGGTCATTTTTTTTTTTAATGTTATATGCCCTATAACAATTCTAGTTTAGGAATTATGGTCTGAAAGGAAAATGGGTTTTCAAAATGAAGTGAGTTTTGAGGCTTTGGGTATTTGGCTCTTGATTAGAGAATCATTGACGTCTCCTTCTAATTTAAATGCCGGCTTGTTTTTTTTTTTTGGGGTGGGCACTATTTTCCCGTGAAGTTTGTAAATTCTGATGGATTTGGGTAGGAGTGAAGAAGAAGAAGAAGAAGAAGAGCCACAACTGATTTGATTCACTCTTATGTGGCAACTTTTCAATTAATTTTTGCCAAATTTGAGGTTCAAATCATGACCTACTTTAAAAACTGAACTGATCCTATAACTTTGGCAAGATTTCGCCATTTGTGGTGATAGCCGGAGGTGGAGGTGGCGGCTGTGGCAGGGCACTGCTCCTCCCATCCATGGCTGATACTTTAGGCCTTGCTTGGATTGCTTGTTCCGTCGGAAAATATTGTCGTTTTTCGTGATCACATTTTTCTATCACCTTTTTCCCTCACATATATCAAATCGCTACAGTAATTTTTCCATGAAAAATGACGAAAAATGTAATCCAAACACAACCTTAAAATGCTAGCGAGGAAGAGCATTAAAATAAAGTAAAAAGAATTAAATGGTTTTCGTTAGAAGTAAGAAACGGATATGGTCAAATTCTTTCCCCATGGGATTCAAAAAAAAAAAAAGGGCATATTATTCTAGTTGATACCGGTTGGGCATTTAGTCCTTACCTTGCTTCCGTACAGGATGATGTTTAACAGACGTTAAGTAAAAGGGGTTTGTTTGTTATTTGACTAAACCTCGGGGTTTGTTTGGTAGTTTGGCCAAAGCTCAAGGGAGGTAGGTATATACTTAAATGTCTTATAAAATGACAGCTGTTATAGTAGTATCTCGTGAGCTTGTACGTTGAGTCATCCGTTGACATCACTAGCCAACCATTAAAATTCATCCACCACTATTTCATTAATTTTTCCTCAAAAAAGAAAATAATCAAGCTCTCAACAAATTGTAGTCTGCTTTAAATTGAAAAGCAGATTCAAGAATCAGATGGATTTGAAGGAAACACCCTCTCAACATGGATTTTACATGCCTGCAGAGTGGGAAACTCACTCCGAGTGCTGGATGGGTTGGCCAGTATGTAACTATTTCTCTCCCGTCTTTACTAAGCTGCCGACATTCGAGTCTTTTTTTTATTATTATTTATAGCAAAGTTTCGAACTTTGTCCTTTATATTTTATGGTTCCGCGGTTGTCGCATCTGGATGAATTATCTGATAAAGGGTCTTCGTAACTTTTACTACTAACTGTGGTTTTTGATGCCTAGTAGTTCAATTTGGATATCTTGATGTGGTTCTGACTGGATGAGCTGGATGATTGTTGGATTGTCGGTTTCGGGTGTTGTTTGCAGAAGAAAGATACTATCCCAAAATTTCTGATTTAAATAATGAGTTGGATGCGTGTTGAAGTTCTAGTTCTTGGGGTTGGAGGAAACATTTTTATTGAATCTGGATTCCTGTCAGGTGGGGTTGGACTCGCATCCCTTCACAGCTATACTACGTCCAACGGTGGGGTTGGACAAAATTGCATCTAGATTCCTGTCAGGTGGAGATTTAGTGGTTTAAAAGCTTAGGAAAATTTAGATTTTCAGATGGTAAATGAAAATCGACATGGGATTCACATGCTGCAAGATAGTAGTTAACTTTGCCATGGGGCTCTACACTTCTCCAGTAGATACAGTTTCAAACTTTATGAAAGCTTAATAGGGCTATCTAAATTTGTTCACCAAAATAAATTAAATATGCTGTTGGATTTCATTTTATAATTGTGGTGATTTCGCTGTATTTTTTATTTCGCATATTAAATTTTAGATCATTATCCTTTCTCTTTGTACCTTAATGCTTTTATCAAAGATAATCCATGTTTTATGCCTCCTTTGCAAGAATTCTTAAGCTTCATCGGTGACATGCAGGAGCGTCCAGATAACTGGCGAGACAATGCGGTGCATGCTCAGCGTGTATTTGCAAGAGTGGCATGTGCAATCTCGAAATTTGAACCTGTTACTGTCTGTGCTGCTGCTGGCCAGGTTGGTAAATCTTTTTAGGAGATGTAACTTATGAATTCGATAGTTTTTGTTGCAATTTGCCCTTAATATAAGCTATTTTTCTTTATAGTGGGCAAATGCACGCAGTCAGATGCCAGAAAACATCAGGGTTGTCGAGATGAGTATGAATGATTCTTGGTTTCGTGATACTGGTCCAACTGTGAGCTTCTTCTTTACCCCTTTAGAGTTGATTGGTCTTGTTTTTGGTATACGATGTTTGTAGGCTGCCATTGACCTTGACTTTCATTTGTGAAGTTTGTAGTGAGAAAGAGAGATTCAAGTTCAATAAAACAGCACAAAATTGCAGGGATTGACTGGAATTTCAACAGCTGGGGTGGTAAGATGGCTGGCACTTTCATTTGGTCTACCTAGGCTGATGAAGTAATTAGTGTTGTAAAGCAGTTATCAATATTTGTATTGATACATAAGGATTACCTGCATAACAGGTTTTCTAAGTTGTCTTACTTTTTTCTGATCAAATTCGGTGTTCCTGCTTAGAGATTATCAACCTTTTGGGCTTCCGACAATAGGTTTTACCATATGGTGAAACTCTCTGTTTTACACAAAATTTCTTCATATCCAGGGATTTGCCTGACTGAGTTTTTAAGAGATCGTGCTTTGCATGTCCTTCTTTAATTGAAGTTCATGCTATACATAATTTATAAACGTCTTGATCTTTAATTATCTCTGGTCCTATCATATGTCTTTGCTATAACATATATTTCTGTGTCTTAAATGTATAATAGTTTTATTGCTGTTGGCTAATGGAGTTCTTTAACATGGTTGTGTTGTTATTACTAGGTGTTGATGATGGATGTTACAAAGATTGGAGCCTTGACCTTCTTGTAGCAAGGAAGGTTGGTGAAGTTCCTTTGATGTGGCTTCTCTGGTCAATACAGTGTTTCTTTGCTGAATGCATGCATATTTGTCTATTCATTTGGTTTTTTATTTTCCAATCGAAAGATTTTGGAAATCAACAGGCTTCCCAGGTTTCCTCAATCTATAATTCTTGAAGGAGGAAGCATTCATGTAGATGGAGAGGGTAAGATATAGCTTTTTGTATGATTTTGCGGAAATACTCATTTCGGAAAGTCTTTATTTCGATTTGAATAAGGTTGTAATGTCCATAGCATGTATAACTCCATTTCTCCTTCATTCGTCTAATTGGCCTGCAATTTTTGGCTTTTATCCATCAGCATGGATCTGTTTGACTACTATTT